GGGGGTGGGCATTTTGCTCTTGAATTCAGAGCAAGTCTTGAAGGATATAGGGAAAAATTTCCTACAGAGATCGTGCAGAATGACCCGCATAGAAACTTTTATCGAATGGCTCTATAAGATTTCTGTTTCCTATAATAACTGGCCACAATTTCGCATGAAATGAAGCCCACAGTTTCCAAAGCAATCTCGACTTGAGTACCGGGCGGCAAAGCCTTTTTCCAGGGACGGACCGAAGGGAGAAGGTGGAGTCGAATCCTCGGATTCTCATCTCTCGAGAATGGGAATCCGGCCATCTCTCGAGAATAGGAATCCGGCCATCTCTCGAGAATGGGAATCCGGCCATCTCTCGAGAATGGGAATCCGGCTGTCGGGATTAGGGAGACAAAGGAGAAGCGGATGGAAAAGTGGAACGGACTCTTTCAGTTCCGCCTTTTCGCGTCTCGTCGGCGTCGAGCGAGCGGATTAGATTGATCCTAACCCCAATCGATCCGAGGTGGCTCCCGAGAGGATTAATGGATTGCATTCGGAATCCTTTCATGGATTAGATGCCGTGATAATCCGTGTCCAAATTTTCAAAGGGAGCATTCGAAAATCAGCTCGTCGCGAACGAGTCCGTTCGCCCACGCTTACTTAGAAAGGAAAAAGCAAAAAAAAAAAATCAAAAGTCCTAATGGGATTGAAAAGAATTTTTCTTCATGTTGGGGCTTCCTCTTCGGGAAATATGAACTTTGAATTTGAACTTGTCTGAGTGGAACGAGCCTTCGAGAGATGGAGGGGATTCTCGCGATCGAATGCAAATTTCGAGATTGCGAGGACATTATCTCGCGGACGTTGCGAAAAAAAGACGAGCGAGACATCTGGCAGGCGTTCCGCGAAACACGGTTGCCTGCCCAGAAAGCGAGATGGCGAGATTGTTGACGCGGTCGAGCAAAAGTTACAATTGCTTCCGCGAGAAACGGAGACGACCGCAAGATGTCGGAAAGGTCTGTCGAGATGGGAGAAGGGGCGTCGGAGGATCGAAGATCGAGATGATGATTCATCGAGTGCTGCAGGATTCAAATGGCTCACGAGAAGGGATTCAACAGACTGTCGAGACTGTTGGGTCTAATTTCGACATGGAGATTTTAAATGTAGCCGTCCGTGTCCTTCAACGTCGACTCAACATGACCCAAACGGAGAATTCCCAGGTGGAGAAAATGACGACCCGTGAGGCTCTGCTCGTCCTGCCGACCCGTGAGGCTCTGCTCGTCCTGACGACCCGTGAGGCTCTGCTCGTCCTTGTCTGAAGGAGATCGCAGGTGAGCCTCTTTTCAATTCCTCGTTCGCTCCATACAACATGGTTTCCACTGGGAAACGATGGTCCAACGGTCCAGGTAACTGCGATCGTATCGGAATTGTGATCGCGAACGCGTTCGCTTTCGCCAAAGGTCGCACACTGACTCACGCCACCGAGTTTCCGTCGAGGTCGCAATCATAAAATCCCGTTCGGCCTTCGTGGACGAGGTCTCTGTCGGCTCGAGTCTAATTTGTCCTTGTCCGCGCAAGGGCGCAGTTGCGTTTCTGCAGGTGTGCCGGAACGTGTTGCGAATTCACCGAACCGAGAAAATCTCGTAGGTCTAATTTAGAAACATTTCCCAAAGGTCGTATGCAAATTCAACGACAAAAAAAAAATGAAAATATGGTTAATAACACAAATTTAGGAAGTTTCATTCCTTTGCGAAATTTTTTTTTCTTTATGCAAACAATGAAAGAGAAAATCTGATTGGGAAAATCTGGTTCCGACCCCAACCGACGTGGGAAAAGCTCATTGGGTATTCCTCATTCTGGCGTGAAGTTACCTCGGGTCGTGTCAGCCTCATGAGGGCGGGATTAAACAAACTTTTCTCCCTGAAAAGGTCCATGGGGATTTTTTCTTTAAGCGCCTTTTTTTTTAATTTCCTTCAGCGAAATATTTTAAGATTACTCATTCTCGCAACACGACTTACCACAATTTTATTTTTATTTTTTTCTGAGCTCGGAATTCTGAATAAGAAATTTATCTAATTTGACATATTCTAAGAAATATGAGCGGTCCAACAGAGAGGTACTTGGAATTGATCGATCCTTACTGGGGTCTGGGACAGGCGTAAATTGGAGAAGGAACCAAAGAAACCAATATTTAAATGAATTAAAATAAGTAAGAAGGATCTTCACTTGAAGAACCGGCCAGCGGATGCCATCTAGTTCCCAGGAAAAAGTGTATCGAAATGTGCATTCGCTGATGCTTTGGCAAATGCATCGGCAAGACCATCAGCTGCATTTGCGACGCATAATCTTAATGAGATGTTCATGTGCGATTGCCGTGATTCCCAAGGAGAGTGACTGCGACCTTGCTGAGACCAGATCGCAACCGTCCTTCTGCAGCGACCCTCGGCGATCGAAGCCAAACGGGTAGGAACCCGGGGTTTTTTGGTATAAATGAGCGTGCAGAACGGCTCAGAGGAACCTTGTGGTGGTCGCATCAATAGACGAAGATGGAGCTCGTTTACTTCCTTGCACTTCTTCTCGGCGTCGCCGCTGTGAGTTTATATTCTTCCATCGTCATGGTCTTCCATTGGATGGAACACTTTGTGTAGGTTATTGGGGAGATTCGTTGCAAAAATGTCCGTACGTGTGACTGAGTTTCAGATGGGCAAGTGTATCGCGAATATCTTTCGCGTTGCAGTATGACGTTCCCAATCTCCACATCCATCTCACATCGATCTCATATCAAATAAAAATCTGAATCCTAATGAAATGTAACTCATATCTGCATATAATGCCTTTCATGTTAGGTATTCGTGAGTTTTCCTGATGACGCCTTCCTTTCCATCATCTTGCGCATAGGAACACTGACGTGTGTATCTCCTCTTATGGCTAACCATAGTGTTGTGTCGTGATTTAATGGTATAATCTGACACCGTTTACCCCAGAATGCTTCCAAGAAGATACATATGTATGAAAAAAATAATAACCAAAGTGATCATATAATTTGGCACACATAATAATGAAACACGGGAAAATGCAAATGAACTCTATTTGGCAGCTCCCACAAACTCCTTGGATCCAGCACGCCCAGCAGGTGTTGAATGCGGGAGCGGGCGTGATCAACGACGCCGAGGATGGTTATAAGGCGTACAAGCAGAACAACTGGGGCACGGTGCTGAAGGATGCGGCCAACGTGCTCGGTGACGCGGACCAGCTTGGAAACGGGGCATCGAATCTTTGGAATGACATCCAGTGAGTGATTTCTCCCGTGTGAGAAGCAGGAAAGGTTCTGGTTGGGTTGATGGAAGAGGAGTTGGGGACGGGCGGGAGTGGGGTGGGATTTCTGCGAATGTCACGAAAGGAGGCATTGCATATTCCAGATAATGCGTATCCGCGTGTACACAGAAATCCTCGGCCAAATGGGATTGGAGCTAGGCAGACGGCTGCTTTTACGCTGCTCGAATACGTCGGAGGCACTATCCTTTTGAAAATTGTAAATCTATATTGCCTGTAATGCTCCAGAGGGGGGGGTTGAAAAATGGAAAATCTTTTGATTAATTGTTTGCACTCAACTTCACACACACGAGTCCTCGTATGTAAGTTGAGTGCTCAAAAAAAAATAAATAAACAGGTAAGAAAAGCACAAGCATTGCATTTGGAAATAGTCGCAGTTTTTCTACAAGAGATAATTGAGGCATTTTTTAATGGCTGCAATCAGGTTTCGGTAGAAATTAATATTTGCTCATAGTCAATATTAATTATCTATCACCTACACAAACCTTTTGCTGATATTTTCTTCCCATGAAGTAAAATGTTGATCTGAGATCTCTCAGGAGAACCGAATTTCGCCATACCTGTGGTTTTCCAGCATCCGACCTCATTATAAGAAAGAAGCAATCCCTCTCTCAATGGAGAATTAAAATTAGTGAAGGGGTCGAAGAATGACCGATGCAATTAGAAAGGAAATAACAAATTGTGTTTTTCATTATATAAAGCATTTAAATGTAACTTTGAGATTAGGTTGGGATGTCGATACAAATGCTTCATTCGTACAAGCAGAGGAGAACCTGATGAAACAAATGAAGACGACCCAAATGAATACGGCCCAGCCAGAGACTACCAGAATGGAGACTATACAAACGGAAACTACCAGTATGGAGACTATACAAATGGAAACTACCAGTATGGAGACTATACAAACGGAAACTACCAGAATGGAGACTATACAAACGGAAACTACCAGAATGGAGACTACATAAACGGAAACTACCAACCTGAGTACTACACCTATGGGTCAGCCTATGCTACAATTTAGTCATAACAAATGGAAATTAACTATTTATTTCTGACGAGAAATGAAAATAAGGAAATTGTCATGTTTTGAAATCAGGAGGAAGAGGGGCTGGTGAAACTGCCTTCAGGAGAAGATTGAGAAACAGATTCCAGGACGGGAAATCGTATAGGTTGTGGGAAAGTGTCATGGATTCACAAATGAGGAAATATTCATATGTTTCATATGAGAAATTGAAAATAAAGAGTAAGAATTCCGTTATCGAGATGTGTCTTTTCTTTTTAAGTTCTTGCTTTGAATTTTCACGACATACAGGTCTCTAGCGTTTTTTTTTTCCCGAAAGCATGAATAAACAACTGTTCTTAGCGGAATTACGTGAGTGTTTATGAGGATCGGGGGCTTTCTGTTCTTCTTTTCACAATGATATTTCTTTTTCTGGTGATAGACCTTTCAACTCGAAAAGCTTACGTTTCCGATCGGAATTACAGTAAAAGAAAGCATCCGTAGTAGGGATGAGGTCTTAATTCCCGAGATTCCCGACTTTCGGAATAACTTTGGAATGCGTGGACTGAAGAAAGAATTTGGATCGTTCGAGGAAAAGTTGAATCATGCGTTGCAGCGGTAATATTCCGATTTTCAATTTCGTAAAGGTGAATGGGACCTGGCTTTATGGACTGTGGAGAGAAAGAATAGAAACTGGGTGCTTGGAACGGACGGAATGAATTTTACCTGTTTTGCATCGCATGGGTGTTGAATGAATTCGATCGATTCGACCTTCAATTTGTCGTGTTATAATGCAATTAACTAATGCAACACACCGGGACTCTAAAGGGTTGCTGTTGGCATGAATCGATTCCCTTGGGTAGGCAATGGTTTTTCATGTTGGTCGCGAGAGAATAAAGTGAATTGAAAGATAAGAGATGTATTGAAATGAAAGAGATCATTCATAACGGCTAAACCGAAATACAAGGCTGTTTTACAAGAGTACTTACTTTCCAGGAACGACCTAATCGACCTGTCAAAATCCGGACAAGAAGACTAGTTAGTAAACAATTCCTAGAATTGGTTAATAGCTTTAAAAAGTACTTTCTAGTCATTCTCGCTCTTAACCTTCATCCCCAGTGAAATCTTCGTTAGTTGTGGCATTCCTTCTGGTTCCCAGGTGCCATGGTTAAGGGTGACATCCGGCCCGATGATCATTTGGGATCGGACATGGTGAGATGAAAGTTGTGGCGCCTATGAGAGGGAAATTTCGTTTCATTAACTGTTACAAACAGGAAAAATGTACTCAAAGTGGAAATTCCTTTACTTACCTCTTTTTCACTTGGTTCCCTGATTACCTTGACTTGAGCGATTCGCAGAAGAAGTTACTTCGATAAAATTCCATAAATTGAACCGATTTACAGAGTCGAATGACTTTTTTTTATGAAAGCAACGGAATTCGAAACTTCACTTTTCCCCTCCATCGCCTTTCAGAATTGAACTTTTCTTATTCGAAGCAACACAAGACACTCGACTGAATGGTTACGATAGATGCTACGCAACCCGATCTGGACGACGATATCGGCACAACGTTGAAAATCATTTCACATTGTGGAGGAGATCTTGATGCCGATGAAGCAAGGCATGGCCGACATGGACTTGAAATCCGAATTCCGTGGAATTCCGTGCCCAGGAATGGAGAGTAGAAAATTGACGTTGTCGTGAGACCCCCGCGAATTCGAAAGACTTCCATATTTGGTTCTGCGAGCATCGGACGATATAATTCTTGAAGCCATCACCAGCCATATTTTCATTGGTTGAAGTCACTCCATCATATTTTTGCTCCTGGAATGGGCACCTTTTAATTTCGGCAGGGTTTATGTGGAAATCGGAGAGGGGCATTTGTTATTCCAACATGTGGGGCAGGGGGAAAGGGGGGGGGGGGAGGGGGGGGCAGGCTATCACCTTGATAATGCATCCATTCGGAAAGTGAGCCATCAAATTGGCTCATGCGCATGGAGTTAACAGCCTGTTGAGACTTCATTGGGATCTTTTTCGTTTCAACGTCCAGCCGATCTTGATTCGATACGGTAATTGATGGTGACTCGAGATGATGGCTGTCAAAATTTCAATGATGGGAATGGTACAAAATTACCAAAGGGAATTCCCTACTTCCAATTTCCAGAACGCATTTAGTTCATATCATTCCATGAATTTATTTTTCATTTGTAAGTCTTCCATAAGAGAGTCGAAAAGATAAGAGCGTCCTTGTAATGTCTGGAGAGAAAGCTGCAGAAGCGAGATCGTCTGGTGGATTCGTCGCTCATATTGACGATATGGAAAGCAAACTGCAAACGGAATGAATCTCCTTCGCCGATGACGTTGTGCTTACATTCTAGCCTAGACGAGGACACAGGTGACGTGCTTATTGCAACCTTGTCTACGGCAGGCCACAGGTGACCTTATTTGGCAACCTTGTTTATTGCAGAGCATTACATTCCCAATGACTCGGAAATTATCTGAACTGGATTGCAAAAGGGCTGAGCTTTTCTTTATGAGTATTAAATGCCATGTATTGACTTTACGATCAGGACAATGTCAGGCTGAACTTATCGATTTACAATCAGGAGGGTAATTGAAACTTTTTTCTAACATTTTTTCCCAGCCCTCACGCTGCGATTCGCTTGCAAGTTAAACACTTCTCGCCGCAAGATCGAGTTATTTTTCTTCATGCATCTTCTATTGTTCCCTTCGCTCTTCGCGACTTCGCGAATACGACCTTGGGTTCGCCTGTGGCCCGCTTGACATTGACCCAAAGGAGCTGGACTGGGCAGTTCTTGCTATAAAACGGCATTCCGATCCCTTGCGATGTACGGAACAAACTACTGAAAATTATTTTCAGCAGAAGAAGATGGATTTCGTTCTCTTCCTTTCATTCCTTCGTGCGAACGCCTCGAATTCTGCCAACTTTTCTCATTTACTTTTCTTCGCATTCATTCTCTTTACGTCGGATTTTGACCGAACGTCAGGGAGAATAAGGGCTGAGGGGAGGATTTTGAGGAGATATTGAACCGGCAAATATTTTTTTTTCTGCAGGGTTTTTCTGTCGTGTCGCTGATCCGTTGATCATTTCATTTTATTATCTCATTTGTGCAATACCTGTACGAGGAAATCTGGCTCATTACTGAATTTGACGTGGTTTTTCTCATAGACGAGGAGGTTCCCATTGAGGTTTTCTAAATGAATAATTATGCAGATGTGAGTGAAGAACTGAAGGTTGGATGGACGAGAGAGGGCGAAAGAAAGCCAGGGGACGACCGGGAATTGAACCCGGACCCCAGATTGGCGGTCGGGCGTGCTACCATTCCACATCCTCATAATGAGCTTCTTCTCGTAGCCATCTGCAGTCCGACGGTTTCGACTGATACTGTGTGCATCGCAAGCGGACGGCATGCCGTTTAATAGTAAGACCAGGGCCTTCGTGTGAATGTCGCAGACGGATATGAAGCGGTCTGGCGTCGGCAAGGTCGGACCACATGCAGACCCGAGGTCAGATTCGCGAGGTCTCCTGCAGCAGGTGATTTCTTGCAATCGCCGAAGGGAAGAAGAGAAGGTGCATTCAGGGCCGGATTAAAGGGTGGACATAGGGGGTTGTTGGACCCGTCCCAACTCTTCCAGGGGGCCCCCCCCCCCCGAAGGAAATTAGCGTTAAATATTTGTGTAAAGTAGCGGGAGGGGGGGGGGGGGGGGGGGGCCCCAAAAATTCCCCTGCCCCGGGGGCCCCAGGGGGGGGGGGGGGGGGGGGGGGGTAGCCTCAAGAATTCACTTGCCTCGGGGGCCTCACAACTTCTTAATCTGGATGCATTGAACAAAAACGAATTAATTTTGCGGCAAGAAGTGTTTAACTAATTTGGGAATCGCAGCTTGAGTACTGAGAAAGAATGTTAAAAAAGTTTGAATTCCCTCCTGATTTCAAATGGGTGAATAGGTGAAGGTTCAGTTGGCGGTTCTCCCAAACGTAAAGACAATACATGCCATTTAATACTCATTAAAAAGAGGTCTGCCCTTTTGGAACCCAGTTCAGATAATTTCCGAGTCATTGGGAATGTAACGATCTGCAATAGACAAGGTTGCCAAATGAGGTCACCTGTGGCCTGCCGTAGACAAGGCTGCAATAAGCACGTCACCTGTGTCCTCGTCTAGGCTACAATGTAAGCGCAACGTCATTGGCGAAGAAGATTAGCCCTTTTGCGGTTTCTTTTCGTAATTGTAAAAATGAGCAACGAATCCACCAATCCAATAATGGCTGGAATAACTAAAAATACGATCATGGAATTTCATGAACCTGTATTTTTTAAGTTGAAAGTGGGGAATTCCCCTTTATAACATCCTCGTTATTGAAATTCTGACAGCCATCATGTCGAGTCCCAGTCTAAGAACATGGATTATCTCATTGAATCAACGTTGGCTTAACGTTGAAACGAGAAAGGTCCCAATGATGTCTCAAGAGCTTGTTGAATTCATGCATGCGCATGAGCGCATTTGAATGCTCACATTCAGAATGAATGATTCGTCAGAGCGACCTGACTCCCTCTGGTGTTGTAACGAGAGCAAACGGCAAACGAGATGAATATCCTTTGCCAATTACGCAGTGCTTACACGCTAGCCAAGACGAGGACACAGGTGACGTGCGTATTGCAACTAGGACAGATCACAAAATTCCCAATAGCAGGGACATTCATTGGGTTGCAGAATTGCAGACCTTTTTATGAGTATTAAATGCCATGTATTACCTTTACGATCGGTACAACATCAAGCTGAACATATGAACATGTAATATATACATGGGAAACAGGGGGAAATAAAAACATTTTTCTAACATTCCTTTCCAGCGCTCATGCTGCTATTCGCAAAATAGTTAAACACTTCTCCGCAAAAATAATTTGTTTTCATTTCTGTGCATCTTCTCTTATTCCCTTCCTCTCTTCGCGATCGCAAGAAATCACCAGCTACAAAAAATCTGGCTAATCCGACCTTGGGTTCGCAAGTGGCCCACTGACTCCGACCTTGCCGACTCCAGTCCGCTTCAGATCCGTCTGCGACATTGACGCGAAGGTCCAGGTTTTCCCATAAATCGGCATGCCGAAAGGTTGCGATGCACACAGCATCAGTCGAAGCCGTCGGACAGCAGCAAGCAAGAGAAGATGGAGCTCATTCTCTTCATGGCACTTATTCTGAGCGCCAACGCCGTGAGTTTGTACAAATTTCAGAACTTCTCCTATTGATTACTTAAGGTGGAATGGGTTGGTTTACGAAGGAGATTTCATTTTCCCACATAGTATAGTCCACCAATAATCCATGGAGAATAAGGCGGAGGCATATCATTGGTATAGATTATGTATGTTCAGATTCAATTTGACCCTGAATCTGACGTTAATTTCTACCAAGTTCGAATGAACCACTTTTCTTTAAATTTTCCGGATTAGAACAACCCCGGCATCCGAAAACATTATTTCACACTATGTGGGAAAAACTAAAATAATATTCACTAATCGTAGATAGAAGATATTATCCGCAAAATTATCCGTGTGTGCGGCAGCTCTCCCTTCACCATGACGGGGAGGCGAAAGCGAGACAGGGCGTCCAGCCCCTTCAGCCTGGCAACATGCAGGTCATGGAGGAGGATGTCGCTTACATCCTCGGTGTCCTCGAGGGGTCTGGATCCTCCACGTCCAACCAAGGCCAAAGGTCAGTGTTCATGTTCATATTTCTTTTTACTTTCGTCTCAAATGGATGGAAGAAGCGCTACGGGACGTGAAAGTAGAGTGAATCGATTAAATATGTTTCTTATTTGCAATGTCTGCCTTCGATGGAAGTGCGAATTTGAATGACTACGATGAGGATGAGAATAATCCCAGTCTTAACGATGGAAATCGATCATATTCTGATGAGTTTCCTACGAGTACCTGTGACAAAAAACTCACTTATTTATTGGGTATTTGCTACCACGTAGGATTGTAACGCTCCCCATGATTTGATGACACTTCCTTAGTGGAATTTTTTTTCATCCATGCAAGCAGTACAGCACAGAACGCGCAAGGAGCGCCCGTTAAGGCAGCCGGGAGCGGAAACGGAGCCGGGAATGGAGCCGGACAGCAGAATAACCGTCCTTCGAGCAACAATTACGGAAGCT